TTATATTCAGAGTCTCGCACACTATTATTTTTTTTAGAGAATTGTATTTCTTTTCCGACTTCCTGTATCCATATTTTTTAATCCAGTCTCAGCTTTCGGCTTACAGAAGCCATCATCAAAGATGTCAATTACTGTACAATATATTAAGCAATACACGGACAAGACAGTGATGATAGTCTGTCATTGTTTACATATGGATCAATATTGTGAATTTCTTTCTTCGATTAATGATAATATTATTAAGCTTATCAGACGTTATGAAAAGAATTTACATAAAATAAATAGAAAACATTTGTCTATATTATTTAATGAAACATGTATGAATGAAAAAATGCTGCCTAAATACACACACACACATATATATATATATATATATATATATATATATATATATAAAATAAACAAACTCACTCCTGCGTCTGGACACAGGACATGATGAGGTAATTTGTTGAACGCCTTTTTCCTCACATACAGTCTTCTCTTTCACTCATTCTAACCCGAGGAAGCCAGAGAGAGCAGAGGCTCTCGACGAAACACGTCGCTTATAAATTTTCCAAATTGTGTTATCACTTTTGTTTCGGATACTATTAAACATCCCACAAGCACACATATATATATATTTAATGGGTTGTTCGTCGTAGTCTGTCTCGGTTCCTGAGTTGTTCGTCCGTGTGTAATGAATGCTCTTTGTAAAAATGAAGGAAACTGTCTCAGTTCCTGAAAACGACACTAGCTGTACTTGTGTGTCCGTGTGTAATGAATGCAGATCTTTGTAAAAAATGAAGGAAACGTTTGCTCAAAAAAGAAAAAAGGCAAATAGAATGCGGTACAGAGGACACAGGCTTGATCCGTAAGATACCAGTCAACTTACAAGTCACGAAACATCCAGAACCTCCTGATTGTATTTTGAATCGTATATAATTGTGGATTAATGTTTACGTTCTTCATATTTGCTTAAACAAAAAGAACTCTCCATTTATTCTCGCAAAGCCGAAGCCTCAAACAAAAAATAAAAAATTATGGCAAATAAACAACGAATACACGGTACAGAGGATAACAAAAGGCGGCAGGCTTCCAAAATTGATCCGGTAAGATACCAGTCAGCGATTGACCCCGTATTCGGTTAGTAAGGTCGATTTTACTGTTTTTAAACTAAAATTGCGCCAAACTTCGCTATCTAAACATCCGGTAATGGAAGACGCCAAGAGGACCAATCCTTATAAAATTAAACCTGATATGGAAAAAATTCAAATTTAAAAAAATTTGTATTTTGAGCTGAAAAGATTAATGCAGAAATCTATTTCAATATTTCCAGTTGGAGAGATCAGGACTGAATGGAAGTGGAAAGTATATAATTAATATTAATTTGCCAAATGAGTTCCTTACAGAAAAGAATAGAAACAGAAAGAGTTACGCTACACCTACCTTATAATTAATATAGGAAAAGAATAATTTACTAATTAAAATGTTCTTATATATATTATATATATATAGTTTTTACTTTTATAGTCTAAATATTTATATATGTGTGGTGTGTGTGCATCATTTTGTGTGCGTGTGTGTGTTTTGGCCTTCTTAAAGAAAATCTCCATTAAAACAAATATTCAGAAAAGTAAAAATATAAAACGAGGCTAATTATATTTCTTTGCTACTAATAGCTGGAAAGTTTCTATTAGTCAATATATATATATATATATATATATATATATATATCATATATAAACGAATGGCACGTTATTATTTTAAAGCCGTTATTTGCTTGAGAATCAATAAACATGCTGGTGAGGGACAAATTTTACAAACTTGCTGTGATATATGGAAGCGGTAAAATAATAAACCGGGAAAAACTTTTCCGTCCATCATTTTCTCAATAAACAAACCTATTGATCTATCCTCTGTAACATCTTGTTAAAAATTTTCACAAGTAAATGTCATGTTTTAATAATAATAATAATTTCAATAACAATTAATTCAAAATTTCCAAAGGAATTGGAGTTAAACCATGTTAACCCAGTTCCAATTACTTCTCCTTCTGAATCTGGTTTAAAAAATTTATTGTCGACCTTTTTATTTTCTTCTTGTTTTGACAAATTGAAAATGCCAAGAAATCCGAACATTTCTTGAAAACCTGTACTTCCTTCTTTCGCTGATGATGTCAAGTCGCTGCAAGAAATGTTGACAATAAATAATTCAAAAAAATTTTCTTAAAATTTCTAAAAATCAACTAGATTTACCAATCCATGCACTTCCTAAATTTATATGGCATACAAAATATGAATTTGTCCCCGACAAAAATGGGAATGGATATATATATATATATATATATATATATATATATATATATATATATATATATATTTTAAGAAATGGACAAAAGTCCGACAATTTATTAAAAGACACTTTTATGTTTAACATTCTTTTTATAGATACAAAGTAATTTAGTATACTATATTTTAGTATAAGTATTGTTTATTATAAACAGTTTAACCATATCATATATATATATATATTAATAATTAGGAGATTTGTATGAGTTTAGAATAATTCATCATGTCTGAATTCTTAACACAGACACATGCAGAAAAGCACTGGATGGCTTTTTTTTTTCCTTTTGGGGGACTTATGAACAATGCACACCCTCTAACGACTATCAGAGTCGAACCTGGAGCGCTCCGATACGACTCAAGCATCATTCCATTGAGCCAACCGGTTACTGTCCATGTTATACTGGAACACAACTATTCTATTATTAATAGACACTCCCATCTATAATAAGTAGTTGTAGTAGCAGTCGCGAACTCGCTCAGTGAGTTGGTCTGAGTTCAGCCTGAAGTCAGACGACCAGCTGACCGGTTGAACTCTCTGCTTTCGGGCGGGGAGGAACCCGAACGAGGCTACGCCGAAGGGCGGATTTTCTTTCGGGGAGGTAAACCGATCCTGAACCCGTTTATACGGGTTCAATAGGCATATTTTTGGCCGAGTCCACGGGCTCGGAGATCCCACGTTAAACCGGCCTTGTGCCACATGATGCCCTCGTGGTGGGGTGAGCGAATATCGCTCAGTGAGTTGGTCAGTCGGTAGATTGCTGCGTCATTAACTCTTATAACAAGTTCGAAACGTTTTGTACGTCGAACCTATTTTAGGACCGACTTAGTACGAATACAAGCCTCCACTGTGAAAACTACTCTACAACAGTCTATCACCGAGCCGCTCCATCTAGTGTATTAGAAGCTGCATCCAGCAAAGATTATATTATAGATTAATAATGATGGGATTCGTTTAATTTCATAATTCATCATGACCAGCTTCTAATGCTCAGGATATGGCTGGAGCGCAAGTCCGTGCATATGGGCCAAGGCCAAAAATTGCACAGTTCAATAGTATATTCTCCCGACCTCACCTCTTTAGTGCAATGAGGGAGGTGCTGTTGCAGGGTTAGAATCCCCGGCACCAGGTGTCCCTCATTTATTTGTTGTGTTCTGTCCGAAAACAAATACAATTGAGAGATAAAATATTGTCTCCCCGAAGGCAGATTTTATTTCTTTTCCACGCTGGCACGATGTGACATAAGTTCACTTTAATGTGGGCACCTCGAGCGCTTTAATCCGGGCCAGGTGCAAAAAGACCCCAGACCCCTCACCCGTCGGTTGGCGCTGGCGTCGGTATTAATTTCGATCCCCTCTCATCTGGTGGTTTTCTTCAGGTGGATCTCATATTTTTTTTTTCTCTTAACCACATTTTCGGAATGAAAATTTGATTGCACCTCACGAAATTTAAAAATAAAAAAACCCCCAAAAAACAGGTAATTTACCCACGAACGCATGGACTCTCCCAGCTATAAATAGGAGCAGGAAATGCCTTATGGAGAGGGAAGTTTCCAGCAGTCAACTCTGAGAATCGGACCGAATATTATTGCTGTAACACTCTCGATTCTATGTTTGTATTTCTGTTGATATATTTGTTTAACTCAATTCCTCTCTAGTGTCTTTATTTCTCGCCCTAACAAGGCCACATCGTCCTGGGTATGACGATAAACTGCATCCACGTCCTGGGTAAGACGATATTACCAGTTACACATTTTTGAAAAATTGCCAGTTATACATTTCTGAAAAAATTACCACAAATTAAAACAACCGCTTTAGTTTCCTTTCTTTCACCATAAGGTCAATTTTAGACCCACTGGAATGACATGGTGTAATCGATTTCTATTTTTTCCTCAGATTAGGTCATTTGCAGTGGTGTGCAGTAATATGAATCTATTTTCGGGGTGTATGATGAAATTTGTTTGGCCTTGAAAAATATTGCTTCAGATTTTCATCACGTTCTGGCACTATTGTCTCGACTGCCGATTAGTTGTCCTACGTCCATTGTCTGCGATGCACTATACTCCAAGGAAGTGTACGAAAATTGTAACGCAGCATGAAAACACTGGCAAGCCTTACCAGTGAGCAAATAAAAGTACTATAGACTGGCCCAGAAACTCTCCTGATTTAAATCTAATCGTGGATCTGTGTGCAATTAACGACGTCGTGGAATGCACATACGAAGTACTAACATATGCACTAGGTCATGTTTCATGAGAAAAATACGAAAAAAAGTAAATAATAACGGAATTATTCGTTTTGTTTCAATTAATTTGCAAAAGGGTGTATGATTCCAGGAATCCGTAAACATTTACTGTCCAAAAAGTTGTCGATAGGATGACCTCGGCCTTGGTGCAATATTTTGTTTACCGTTGGATAAAGGTCAGCCTCAGAAGGTCTGAGCCCAAATACACTGTCAGTAAAAAATAATAGTCTGAAACTATTATTTAATATTCCTTACCTAACCATAAAAAAAAAAAAAAACATTTATGAATTTTATTTCCACTACATAATATTTAACACTTCAATTGTGTTTCTTATCGATTGTGCTTCCGTCTGCGGACAGAGTGCAACAGAAAGAAAAATGAAAACAGGTCTTGGTTGACAAATGCCCGCGGCAGTATCTCCGTCATAGAGCTAAAGGAGTGGTTTTTGAATGGTACTATGGAAGACGATAGCAGGTGAGGCGGAAGAGGATAGAAAGTGAAGCGGAAGAGGATAGCAGGTGAGGCGGAAGGGGATAAGAATAGAAAGTGAAGCGGAAGAGGATAGCAGGTGAGGCCGAAGGGGATAGCAGGTGAGACGGAAGAGGATAGAAAGTGAAGCGGAAGAGGATAGCAGGTGAGGCCGAAGGGGATAGCAGGTGAGACGGAAGAGGATAGAAAGTGAAGCGGAAGAGGATATCAGGTGAGGTGGAAGAGGATAGAAAGTGAAGCGGAAGAGGATAGCAGGTGAGGCCGAAGGGGATAGCAGGTGAGACGGAAGAGGATAGAAAGTGAAGCGGAAGAGGATAGCAGGTGAGGCCGAAGGGGATAGCAGGTGAGACGGAAGAGGATAGGGAAGAGGATAGCAGGTGAGGCCGAAGAGGATAGCAGGTGAGACGGAAGAGGATAGAAGATGAAGCGGAAGGAGGATAGGAGGCCGAAGGGGATAGAAGACGGAAGAGGAGAAAGTGAGGCGGAAGAGGATAGCAGGTGAGGCCGAAGGGGATAGCAGGTGAGACGGAAGAGGATAGAAAGTGAAGCGGAAGAGGATAGCAGGTGAGGCCGAAGGGGATAGCAGGTGAGGCGGAAGAGGATAAAGTGAAGCGGAAGAGGATAGCAGGTGAGGCCGAAGGGGATAGCAGGTGAGACGGAAGAGGATAGAAAGTGAAGCGGAAGAGGATAGCAGGTGAGGCCGAAGGATAGTAGGTGAGACGGAAGAGGATAGAAAGTGAAGCGGGAAGAGGATAGCAGGTGAGGCCGAAGGGGATAGCAGGTGAGACGGAAGAGGATAGGGGTGATTAAGAGGATGGGCCGAAGGGGATAGCAGGTGAGACGGAAGAGGATAGAAAGTGAAGCGGAAGAGGATAGGTGAGGCCGAAGGGGATGAGAGACGGAAGAGGATAGAAAGTGAAGATGAGGATAGCAGGAGAGGCCAGAAGGGGATAGGGTGAGACGAAGGGACAGGGTGGAAGAGGATATAGAGGCCGAAGGGATAGGGTGAGACGGAAGAGATAGAAAATAGCAGGGCCGAAGAGGGTGAGGCGGAAGAGATAGAAAGGATAGCAAGGGGATAGAGGTGAGACGGGAGAGGATAGATGAGGAAGGATAAGGATGAGGTGAGGGACCAGATTGAGGATAACTGGTGAGGTGGAAGAGGATAGGAATTAGGTGGAAGAGGATAAATAGTGAGGCGGAAGAGGATAGCAGGTGAGGCGGAAGGGGATAGTAGATGAAGAGGATATGCAGGTGGGGTGGACGAGGATAGCAGGTGAGGCGGAAGAAAATAGCAGGTGAGGCGGGAAAGGATAGCAGGTGAGGCGGAATGGGATAGCAGGTGAGACGGGAGAGGATAACTGGTGAGGTGGAAGAGGATAGGAATTAGGTGGAAGAGGATAGCAAGTGAGGCAGAAGAGGATAGCAGGTGAGGCGGAAGGGGATAGCAGGTGGGGTGGAAGGTGATAGCAGGTGAGACGGGAGAGGATAGCAAGTGAGGCGGGAGAGGATAGCTGGTGAGGCGGAAGATACATTTAACGTAAGGCGACAGAGGATAGCAGGTGAGGTGGGACAATTGAAAGATATTCGAAGATTTAGAAACAGTTTTAAAAAATACATATCCCCAAAATAAATAGGATTTCGAAATTTAAAATATTATTATGCATGACTGCCAGTATAAATAGTTATAAATGCTATTTCTGCATTATATCACGTATGAAGAATGGTCCGTAAATTGGAGGAGAGAGTTATCAATGATAATCTTCGGAATCGAATCTGCGATTATCCCCCTTTAACTCTGTCGTGACCTTGTTTGTTTGGTTGGTTGGTTTGTTTTACGGCATTTCAACCTCAATGGGCCATTTAATGAAAAACAACTTTTTTTTCCTGGTGATATTTCTGTTTTGTCAAGAATCCATTTCTGTTAATATTATTTTTTCAAAAACGTATAACTGGTAATATGATTTCTTCAAAAACGTATTCCTGGTAACATTATTTTTTCAAAAACGTTTTGCTGGAAACAGTTTTTTTTTTTAATTCAAAAACATATTGCTGGTAATATATTATAATGATTTTTACCTCAGTTTCGGGGTTAACTATTTGAACTATTTGCCCATAGCTGGGACCCCTAACAGGTGCTACCACCCGGTGTCAGGGTGGACCTGGGAACACCAGCAATTAAGAGGTGGTTCCACGCTCCTCAAAACCTCCTGATCAGAGGCCTTGCTGTTGGACGTAGTTTATCGTCATACCCAGGACGGTGGTTTTGATTGGCTTAGCCGAAGTGGAATATTAGATAAAAAGTGTTTTTACACGTCGAAGAGATCAGACGTGGTTTATTGCGTGTCTTGGGGAACTTGCTACCCAGTGGGGGTGACAGAGATGGCTAGTTAAACATGTACACGTCGACGTGTTTAATAAAATAGATAATTTAAAAGTTCTCATTTTAACTCCGAAATAAAAGAACGACTAGCAATCAACAGGCCGCGAGAAGAAAAAAAAAGAAGAAAATGGAAGACATTTTTATGATCGCTGCAAAGCCGCCCAAAAGAACTATAGAAGAAGAGGTTATACAACCTTAAGTAGTTTGTTCAGCCGATTACAGATACTACACTTTGATTCTATACAGAGGGATTTGTAGCATTTATTTACCAACCACAATGATAGTTTTAACAACAAGTAGTCTCACATTCGTATAAGTTGATGGTACCAGAAATCGTTTCGTTTTTTCTTTTTGGCATTACTCTTTTTGGGGAGACATCAAGCATCTGGGATTGACGATCTTGGAAGAAGGCTTTTGCCATCTTGTAAAATGCCATTGCCCTCGGAAGCCTAATTTTCGTTAAAGGACAACCGGTATAATACTAACATTTTCCAAGATTAATTTGCTCACCAAAAGTCTTTAATAAAAAACCTCGTGTAATGAAAAAATCGTTTAACTTTTGAAATATACAGCTGATTTCACAAGGTTATCGTTATGTCGATAGGACACCATCAGAGCAAACGATATGGTGTCTGGTTGGGCGATCCAAAATCTTTAAGCTATCGATGCCATTCATGCAGTTTGACCAAATCCAGGGAGGATTTCAAGAGCCATCGCTTTCTGAATCGTCCTTAACCAATCTTCCAGAACAGATATAACACGTCCAATGTCCACGTTTTATCTTGGTTGTGAATCTTCGTTCCATAAAGTGCTTCATTGGTCACCGAAAACATTATTCCTAGTAATTACGCGTCTTATTCTCCTAGAAAAAAAAATGAATGGATATTGCATTGAGGCCATACTTCAGATACCGCAATGCACTGGAAATAGAATTTTTGGATCTCATGATGTACATATACGAAAATGACTTATATTTTCTTTTTATACGTCATATTCCTTCAAGTGGGGGTCCAGTCATAGCCCTCTACAACTTCCTCTTTTTTATCCTTCACCATATCTATTTGTCATTATTCTGTCATCTATTCACACGAGCGCATTAAATAGGTTAATCGATGTTTTCACCTGCTTCGACTGTCTTCAACATGTCTTATGAATGTTCAATTCCCTAGACTTTCGTGTCCCAAAAATATCTGCTTTGAATGTTTCTGATTGTATCAATTTTCTGATCCGTTTGTATTCCTTTATCACTTATATATATATATATATATATATATATATATATATATATATATATATATATAATATTTGATAATTAGTAGGGACAATTCAAAGACGATATAAATCCAAAAAGAGCTCAATGTAAGAACAGAGCAGATAATAATGAAAACGGAAACTTTCGGAATTTATGGTAATAATTTTTTCAAGATATCAGACTCCATCTGATATATATATATATATATATATATATATATATACATATTATTGTAGAGTAGGACTTCTCTTCCTACAATATATATATATATATATATATATATATATATATATATATATATATTATTGAAGAGTAGGACTTCTCTTCCCTACTACTTTGACAATGGACTGCTCCGACTTACAAATGGGCAAGTAGCAGCATTAGAGTAGGATTTGAGTAGTATTTGATTTACTCAAAATATTTCCGTTCTACATATGAGTATTTAGTTTTCGGCCTTCCTAATTCTCGGCTTTTTTTATAATAAAGGCAACATGATAATATATATATATATATATATATATATATATATATATATATATATATATATATATATAAGTAGTTGTCTTTGTATTTTGTTCTGCGTTGTATTGAGAACTTTTAAAAATGAACTCTGGATTCTAACTCCATCTGTTCTTTCTGTTTCTTAATATATATATATATATATATATATATATATATATATATATATATATATATATTGATGAAATATAAATAATTTATTTCACGGGATCACACCCCATCAGGTTTTCAGGGAATTAAGTTTTACACGTCGAAGAGATCAGTGGCTATTTCGCGTCTCTTGGAACTTGCTTCCCAGTGGGATGGGGTGACAGAGCGATCCACTGGCTAGTTAAAAATGATCTTGATAATAATGGCGAAGCTCGGGTTGTGGCTGTAGATATCTTGAAGGCGATTATCAGGGTTTGGCCTACATAAGATCCAGGGTTTGTGTATTACAAAACTATTGTTTTACTTAATCCATTCATTCCTAGCAAATCGTGAAATCAATGTAGTTTTGAATGGGCTCGCTTCTAGATCCTTTCAAACGAACATGAATGTCCCCCAAGGCTCTATACTGGGTCCTACGCTGTTTCTTTTCTCCATCAATGATCTCCCTGATACCAACTTTTGCTAAGTAGGCATTTATGCAGATGACACTACCATTTACTCCGGTCTCAATAGCAAATACGTCAGAGCTGACAAAGTTAATCTAGCCGCTGCTTTTGAAACTGGGACAGGAAATGGCTTGTAAATTTTAATGCCTTCAAAACGAAACTGCTCTCATTTAACGACCATAGAGAAACTTCCCTGGCCGCCATCATCATGGCTGATTTTCGACTCCTGGAGAGCGACACACTGCGCCTTCTTGGCCTCACGTTTTCAACTGAATTGAAGTAGAGCAACTACATCGAATCAATAGCTGCATCTACTGCAAGGAAAGTTGGGTCACTGTGTCGTGCCAGAAGGTTTTTCTCGTTGGAGTCCATCTTGCCCATTTACAAATATACCATTCAGTCGTGCATTGAATACTGTTGCAATATCTGGTCTGGTGTTCCTGATATTCATCTCGAGGTTCTTGACAAAATCTAAAGAAGGATCTGCAATGTAATCGGTCCTTATTATTATTACTATTATTATTATTTTCATCATTATTATTATCATTATTATAATTTTCATCATTATTATTATCATTAACATTATTATAAGTTTCATTATTATTATTATCATTATTATTATCATTATTATAATTATTTTCATAATTATTATTAACATTACTGTTATTATCATTATAATAGTTTTAATCATTATCATTGTCATTATTGTTATTATCATCATCATTATTATAATTTTCATCATCATTATTAGCACTATTATTATAATATTCATCATTATTAGCATCATTATTATTATTATCATTATTATTATTAGCATTAATATTATTAACATTATTATAATTTTCATTATTATTATTATCATTATTATAATTTTCATTATTATTATTATTATTATTATTATAATTTTCATCATTATTATTATTATTATTATTATAATTTTCATTATTATTATTATCATTATTGTTATTATCATTATTATAGTTTTAATCATTATAATTGTCATTATTGTTATTGTCATCATCATTATTATAATTTTCATTATTATTATTATCATTATTGTTATTATCATTATTATAGTTTTAATCATTATTATTGTCATTATTGTTATTGTCATCATCATTATTATAATTTTTATCATCATTATTAGCACTATTATTATAATATTCATCATTATTAGCATTATTATTATTATTATCATCATTATTATTAGCATTAATATTATTACCATTATTATAATTTTCATCATTATTATTATCATTATTAATTTTCATCATTATTATTATCATTATTATTATCATTATGATTATCATTATTATAATTTTTCATCATTATTATTACCATTACTGTTATTATCATTATCATTATTATAATTTTCATTATTATTATTGTCATTATTGTTATTAGCATTATCATTATTTTAATTCCCATCATTATTATTATTATCATTATTATAATTTTCATCATTATTATCATTATTGTTATTATCATTATTATTATTATCATCATTATTATTAGCATTATCATTGTTATCATTATTTTCATAATTAACATTATTATCATTATCATCATTATAATTTTAATAATTCTTATTATTATTATCATTATTATTGTTATAATTTTCATCATTATTATTATTATTATTATTATATTATCATTTTCGTTATTATCACTATTATGTTGTTTTTGTTCTTATTTTTGATGCAATATTCTTATAATTCACTTTTATCACCGCATGATCGTACTAAATGTCCTTTACTCTACGACAAGAATAGTGTCCATCTCGACATTTTTTTTCCGGAAGTGATAAAGTAGCCATTTTGGCTTGGGAAAAAAGAGCATTAATTAGTAAAAGCACTGGGAAATCAAGCTTCACCTACACAAATCGTAAACTAACGATATGGGGGTCGGTAAAGTATGAGCCTTTCGGTCTTCCTATCTCTGTCTGAAGTTCGGTGGGTGACGCTGGCATCATAAACGCAAGGAATAACAAAATACCGCGAATAGAATGTCGGTTGCTAATTGCTTGAGGGGCGTTATCGATATGAAACGCAGCCGGGCAGTGCGTCCCATTCGGCCGTAAGAACGCAATTACCAACCTGATTTTCCAACCGTTCATGCTCACAACTTTTATTTTCCCACTTTTACTCTCTCAAGCTATCGAAGATGTAATGGTCAGCCGATCGCGGGTAGGTGTGTGAAGGAAAGGAGAAGTGAGACAGAGGAAAAGGCGGGCGAAAGAAGGAATAAGAATGGTGGACAGAGACGGATGAATGATTTCAGCAGACGAAAGATATGTTAGTAATAAGAATAACTGGACAAAATAAGCGGCTGGATTTAAGAAAATATCACTTGGGAGGCTTGGTGGAGATGGTCTTGATTGGGAAGCCATGAAATATGAAACGAAAAGGCGAAGAAAAAAAAAAGGCGAAATTATAGTGAAACATTTAAGCCCTGCCTTTGTTTAAACACGGACACACGCGTATCTGGATGACAGTACTTTTCAATACGAGTATAGGGAACCGGAGTTCGAATCCTAACAGTAACCGTTTACGAGGATGAAGAGTTTATAGGCTGATCGCTTACGAGGCTGAAAAGTTTATAGGCTGAAATGTTTATAGGTTGACCGTTTACGAGACTGAAAAGTTTATAGGCTGAAATGTTTATAGGCTGACCGTTTACAAAGTTGAAACTTTATATGCTGAAATGTTTATAGATTGACCGTTTACAAAGCTAAGAAGTTTATAGGCTAAGATGATTATAGGTTATCCGTTTACGAAGCTGAAACTTTATAGGCTGAAATGATTATAGGTTAACCATTTGCAAAGCTGAAAAGTTTATAGGCTGAAATGATTATAGGTTAACCGTTTACGAAGCTGAAAAGTTTATAGGCTGAAATGATTATAGGTTAAGCGTTTACGAAGCTGAAAAGTTTATAGGCTGAAATGATTATAGGTTAACCGTTTACGAAGCTGAAAAGTTTATAGGCTGACCGTTTAAGAGGCTAAAAAGTTCATAGGCTGAAAAGTTTATAGGCTGACCGTTTTCGAGGTTGAAAAGTTTATAGGCTGAAATGATTATAGGTTAAGCGTTTACGAAGCTGAAAAGTTTATAGGCTGAAATGATTATAGGTTAACCGTTTCCGAAGCTGAAAAGTTTATAGGCTGACCGTTTACGAGGTTGAAAAGTTTATAGGCTGACCGTTTACGAGGCTAAAATGTTGGTAGGCTGAAAAGTGTATAGGCTGACCGTTTACGAGGCTAAAATGTTCGTAGGCTGAAAAGTTTATAGGCTGACCGTTTACGAGGCTAAAATGTTCGTAGGCTGAAAAGTGTATAGGCTGACCGTTTACGAGGTTGAAAAGTTTATAGGCTGACCGTTTACGAGGCTAAAATGTTCATAGGCTGACTATGAGGGAGTGATGATAGAGTTATGAAATCTTGCATGCATTAATTTAAATTCATCTTGTTATTAACGGCATTGTTTCTTTCCAGGTACAAGGGTGGGCTGAAAAGTTCATTGGCTGACTATGAAGGAATGATGCTAGAGTTATGAAATATTGCATGCGATTAATTTCAACTCTTCTTATTAATAACTGCAATGTTTATTTCCAAATAAACTGACATGTCCTGATAACGGCTTCAGTGCTCGGCATACCTGAGAGATTGATGACTTCTCGCCGGTCCAACCTTTTGATTTTATGTATCTGCCGGAGCTTGGTTTGTTTTCCGCGTAACTGCTATCGAAAAGGACATAAATTGCTGCTAAAACTTCAAAGATGTAATCTGAAATGTAATCAATCCTGGCATCTCGACTTCAGTCACTTTCTCACCGACATGAGGTGACCCCCCTCTCTCTTTTTGTTGTAACTCAGATAAAAAAAAAACAGCAGAAAACCGGAATTGGTTTATTTACTTTTGATACAGGGAAGAATAATGTAGAATAGAAAGTAGGGAAGAGAATGTTTAGCTGTGAATGACTAACTGCTTTCAGCAAAAGCTACTGCTCCTCTTGATACTCCTCTTGATGTAGGAGTATTTTTATGTCTTTTGTCCGACGGCTGAGTCAAAATTTGTAGAGAAATATTCTCCCTCACAACACTATCTAAATCAGTTCACTATCTATCTATCTATCTATCTATCTATCTATCTATCTATCTATCTATCTGTTCCTTCAGTATCTAACTATGTATCTATTCTTTCACTCTTCTTACTTTCCAGTCAACTTTGATCTTCAAAAATTTCAAAGCAATGTCAATCGTTATCTTCTGTCTTCTTAATTCCTCTTCTTTTATTGTCCTTTCCCCTCACTGAAGTCTTCTAATTCTCTTTCACTCTTCTTACTTTCCAGTCAACTTTGATCTTCAAAAATTTCAAAGCAATGTCAATCGTTATCTTCTGTCTTCTTAATTCCTCTTCTTTTATTGTCCTTTCCCCTCACTAAAGTCTTCTAATTCTCTTTCACTCTTCTTACTTTCCAGTTAACTTTGATCTTCAAAAATTTCAATGCAATGTCAATCGTTATCTTCTGTCTTCTTAATTCCTCTTCTTTTATTGTCCTTTCCCCTCACTAAAGTCTTCTAATTCTCTTTCACTCTTCTTACTTTCCAGTCAACTTTGATCTTCCAAAATTTCAATGCAATGTCAATCGTTATCTTCAGTCTTCTTAATTCCTCTTCTTTTATTGTCCTCGCTACTTAATAATGATTTTCTCACTTTCTTTCCTACCCAGAAACATTTAGCGTCTTAGTGGCTTTATTACCTTGCTTGGTAGAGAAAAGTTTAAAACAACATTCAACTGTATTATTACCTCACAATTTTCTTCACCCTGCCAAGTCGTTTTTGCTTGGAGGCACTGGAGATCAGTCGTCGTCGTTGAGTCATATACGGCTTTAGCCCTAAATCCTGTCTCACAATCCTCCTTAGCAACCAATCCGAGATATACATCTATGACGCCTATATACACCTATGACGCCGATTTCTCACCCTTTTCTTGATATCTTCAATAACACTTTCGGGACGGATGAACGGTTAATTCCTGGAATTGTATTTGGTGAACTGTTTTCTTTTTAATTACAATTGAAACCTTTTCCACACATTACAAACAGTTTTTCTTCAAGTATTCAACTTTTTTTTTCTATAACAACCACGTTCAATGCGGCATTTTGATCCCGTTTTGTTTCGTCCGCCATATTTAATTAAACTGCAAACAATAAAACAAAAGATTTTCACCAAGCTGTATGCAAAATTTAAAATTATTTTTACGAATATATATATATATATATATATATATATATATATATATATATAAGACAATTATGTTCATACGTTCTTTTTATAGATACAAATATTTAAGTAAATGCTCTGTTTATAATAAACAGAATTAACAACATTTACCGGCCTGAATTTCCGAGAAATTTTCATAGAAAATATGCGTCCTCAGACAGGAATCGAACCTGTATCCTATACAGAACCGTCATACTGCAAGGTCAATTTTGCTGTTTTAATACACACTTCTCCATGAAAAAACAGTAAAATCGACCTTGCTAACCGAAACGCTCCTCTGTGGCGAAATCGGTAAAAGCACGTCAGGTTATAATACGGTTCCGTATAGGATACAGATTCGATTCCTGTCGGATGACGCTTAGACAAAACTTGTCTATATTATTTAATGAAACATTCATCAATATATATATATATATATTGTGTATTTAGGCAGCAAATTCTCTTTTAGGCATGTCTGATTAAATAAATTACAGACATTATGTCTACTTATTTTTAATAAAATCCGTTCACACTCACGAATAACATTTCGTGTATTGCAATTAAATGACGTGAGAAATGCGCTAGAGAAAGCCGTAATAAAAATTCTAACCGCTCTTCTTGGAACAATCTTTTCATTATTTATAAAGAACTAAGACAGCCTAGTTGAAAAACTAAAGGATATGATCATGACTGATGAACGCATGACCAGTCGAGTTAGAAAATCCCTTTACAGCAAAGTCCCAGTTTAAAAATGCCTAAATCTCCTAAAAAAGCATCTATGATAATCAAAGATAAAGCTCTTTCTACGAACAGCTACAATAAAAATCTGCCGTCTCATCACCAATCAATGTTACTACATATTTAATAATTTTTGTTACCAAAAAAATTTGGATTAACAATGGGGTCACCTCTCAGTGTAATGATAGCATGTATCTACGTAGAATTTTATCGAATCTGGTCCTTTCCAAAATATTTTATTCAAACAATTAAGATACTTCCGTTATATTGATGACCGTCTTATTATATATCCCCGTGAGACTGATTTACCTGAGGAGTAAATCAACTAAACAAAGTCGAACACTCAATGGAATTTACATACAAAATGGAAGAACACAATTCTTTACCCTTTCTAGATATGAATCTACACCGCGTTAACAACAATTTAAAAGTCGGTGTCCACCGGAAATCAACCAACAAAAACGACCTAATAAATTTCTAATCCCATCATATCAACAAATATCCGACATAATTATCGGATTCTACCTAAGAGCACTCAAAATATGCAGCCCGGATTATTTACCCGAAGAAGAGAAATACCTTGAAAACAGTTTCAAACTTCTCCAGGGCCCTAATTATTTTATCTCAAATTCGAAACAAAAGGCCCACGAAATATGCCAAAACAAACAAACAAAAAAATCGTCCGCTCCTGAGAAACCAAATAAATCAAAAATTATCATGCCTACTAATTTTATCACATCTACAATGGAAAAGAATCTATCTAAGCTCAACATAAAAGTCGTTACTATTACATCCAAAACGACAGATGACTTAGTCAATACTAAACATAACAATAAGCTAAAACCTGAAGGAGGAGTTTACTACATCACCCGTAATAATTGTCACCAAATATACATTTAAAAACTTCAAGGAATCTAAATAAAAGATTATATGAACACAAAAGGGATATTTTACAAAATAATACGTTAAATGCTTGGTTGCTCACCGTAACGAGATTGACCACAAATTTAACATAAAAAATACTAGCATGACCAAGAAAATAATTCACTTCTACATAAATGTCTAGAGAGGGTCTTAATCACACGGTCATCCATCTTAACGTAAACAAATGACGACA